GCTAAAGCTCTATTGACACACAGATATCAAAGCACACGAGAAATTATTGCTGCATATAATATCAAAAAGAGGGGTGAATAATGCATTAGCATGCCTTCTATAGCCCTTCATGATAGCAAAGTTAGGTTCTTAGATGGCACGATATCTTAAATTTTCTTCTGTTTGAGAGTACACGTACCGTGTATCAAGGTTTTTTTGTGTTCAAAATATCAGATGACCTATTGTTTTCTTGTTTTAGCGTGGCCACATGGGTGTGAAGGTTGCAGTTTTTTTCCATTTTTGTTTTCATATATGTTTCATTGCGACTCAGCACTGCGATTCTTCCCTTCTTCTTTTGTGTCCACGTAGTTATGCGCTGTGTTAAAAAAAATGACAGGAATGATACGAACTCATAACTGATTTGCATCATAGGTAGCTTCAAGCTAATGCGGGAGTCACATTGGTGGTAATCCTCATTCCAGAATGACAATCAACAGTCAGTAATCAAATCTTGTCTAACAAGTGCAATTCGCTCCGATAAAGATTCAAAGACGGCACACTGACACACTGGACATCCTTCATGTTTATGCAAAAAGGTTGCCTAGTGTGCCAGTGTGCCGTGTTTGAATCTTTATCGCAGCAAACTGCACTTTTTAGACAAGATTTGATTACTGATCATCATGTGCCATTCTGTAACGGTGATTACCGATGCGAGCAGCTACCTAGGATGCAAATGTCTTTCTAATAAATCAGTTTTCGTTGGCACCAGCCCTGTCGTTTCTTGTCCTCGCTGCTTCGTGCCTCCTATACTATAGTAGACCATGCACCAACTAGCACATGTGCCACTTGAGACTTCGAAGTACGTTGTCCATCAGATGCTCAAAGGTTGCGGGTGCATTGCAATGGCCAAACGGCATCACACTGAACTTGTATAAGTTACCAGGAGCTACAAATCTAGTGTTGGGATGGTCGCCTTCATCCATAAGTATTCGCTAGTATCCTGACTGAAGATCCGATGAAGAAAAGAACTCCAGCTCTCGCAAATAATCAAGCGCGCTATTGATTCTGGGTAACAGAAAACATAATTGCTGGTTGATCTTGTGAAGGGATCTATAATCAACAGAATAAGATACTACCGTCCTTTTCTTTCACAAGTACCACCAGGGATGCCCAAGGGCTGGGCATATGACGCCACGGCTAAGCATATTGGTCACTTAGTCAACAACAAGACGTTCAGCTTGAGAGACCGGGTAAGGACGCTGGCACAGGGGTGCATGGCTACTGGTGTCTATATGATGAATGATTGCAGATGATTGGCGCAAGCTCGTTTGCTTGTAGTCGAAACACGTCCAAAAGTGGTCGAGAAGCTGCAAGAGTTGGGTTCGTTCAGCACTCGAAAGGTCGTAAGCAATTGATGGAAGGTGTTAATGAAAGATGTGTTGGGTGTGGTAACAAGATTAACGTTGGTGACCTGGAAGCTTGTTGCGGGATGAGGCAGTGGGCTAACCCAAACTCAATCAATGTCTGCAAGCTGCCCTATACAGTTTTCGCAGAATATCGTGGCTGCGACCAAAAGCGGGTTCGGGACATAACTAATTATGCCGGAGTTTTCATTCAATCATGAAAAGAGAAGAATAGCAAAGGGGATAAGAAAGTTCTTATGAGAAGTGAATGCTTTGGACTGTTTAAATTCGCAGTAAAAGAAGCTTAGTTGCAAGACATTGGCACAAGAACAGAAGACATAGCTGGGATGTTTGTGTCAGCGATGACGACTTGAAAACAGTGAGTAGTAGTTGGTGGGCTATGCAAATTATAGTGATTTCATACCCGTGCCGTCCACATCAAAGTGCATATAGTTGGATTTACTATGCCATTTTGATAAGAGAGGCATAAATTGCTTAACACTTCACAAGAGCCTCAGGTTTCATGATATTTGTCAGTGGCATTTGTACCACCTGTGTATCAGTACTTGTGCAGCTTAATTTTGGAACCATGAAAGTCACAATCATGGACCGGAGATTATTCTGCAAATGAAACGGTGCTTATGCATGCCTCCAGATGTCGTGCGCAGGTTGACACAGTGTCTGTTGTGGAAGTCGGCTTGACAGCAAAACGTGGTCGCTGCACAGCCTCGTGACTTCTGGGGCAATTGGTGACAGGCGAATGGGGCAGCCGTTGATTCATCGGCGTATGTTGTCTGTCCCAAAATCACTGCTTGTAGCTTGTTCCGAGCGTTGTGTAGCATGCAATTAAGGCAATGTTCAGGAGTAAGTACACATCGGCTGCTAAAATGTCAGTCACTTCTGTTTTCAGATATTGCGGAAAGTAATCTAGGAAACATAGAAGAAGGTATTTAAAATGATACCGATTTTTTTTTAGCATTATGACCATAGCAGGTCAAGCAAATGGTGAAAATGTGCCATTGTTTCACCTAAAATGCATTGATCCTCATCCAGAAGAATTTAATTAACCTCTGTATTTATCCCTTGTTCTTTCATATTTTTTTTCTCTCAGTGCATCTGGGCAGTGCATCTGGGCTTGCAGTGATTGCCCTTTAAAAGGCCCTGCCTCTTTTTAGCTTGTGATTCCTATTGTCCAGCCTAAAATTTCTTGCTTGCTTTCTTAAAATGTGATCTCACCAATTAAAGCTAGCCTTTAGTTGATGCAGCTGCAATTTTATTTTGGTATGCACAGCTGTCAGTAGTGGCCCCATCCCGGGTTCAGAAGACATTCACTCTGGATGGATTGGGTTTACCAGTGTAGCTGTTTAGCCCGCAGCTCTGAGGTGACATGGAAGAGGTCAGTCTGGTAGGCAAGACTAAGTTGTGAACATGCCTAACAACATCCAAAATACTGTGCACATTCATTCATAACTACAAAGACCAAAATTACGCTTTCTTTCTTAAAGGCAGCTTCATTTTTAGACACAAAGGCATCGGCAACTTTTACAAGCCACCTTATGTGGGCTTATGTTGCCTGTTGAAATATCTGATGAATTCCAGAGACAATCCTTGTTGGATTGAACAGATAAAATAAAAGTATACCAGTGCTGCAGCTTATGTGGGCTTATGTTGCCTCTGGAAATATCTGATGAATTCCAGAGACAATCCTTGTTGGATTGAACAGATAAAATAAAAGTATACCAGTGCTGCAGCTTATGTGGGCTTATGTTGCCTCTGGAAGTATCTGATGAATTCCAGAGACAATCCTTGTTGGATTGAACAGATAAAATAAAAGTATACCAGTGCTGCAGCTATAACAAATATTGTGGGTTCCCATTCAGTGTTCCTGTTAGTGGATAGTGTGAGAGCAGTGTCTGAAGTCACCATGGCTATTGCAAAGAAGTGAGCAAGCATCAATTAAGAGGCATGCAATGAGATGAAGTCACTGTCTTGTGACCAGGTATGGTGGTGCTATGTGTATGATGATGTAAAATGTCTACAGAAATTGTTTTATGCAGACATTCATGTCATATAGATCAAATAATGTATGCACACTCATCACATAGGCAGTAAATATTGCCATTTAATCAGCCATAACCATCTTTCAGCAATAACAGAGGCAGATGTGAGGATTTGAGCTCACAGAACTTACAGGTTCGTTTCGTTCTATTGATTACAAACTGCATTTGTAAGTACAAATGAGAGGTGCCTAATGTGATTATGGTATAACTGTAAACTACACAGTTATGGTTGAGTCTTTCACGCAGGTTTTCTTACTGCTTAGTCAAGTCTGTGCTCCTTCACTGGTCACAAGATGTTGTGACAGATGGGCTGATACATGGTTTAATTAAGTTAAATATAAAATGTCAAACTCTTTGAGGATCTGTGTAGGTTAGTAAGTGTATCAAAAGCACAATGGGTTGTACTCATTCGTGGTACCTTTATTACTATTATGATAATTGGAGAAACTCGCTTTGAGAACCCCTGCACATGGAAACATGATTCGTGAGACACGATATTATGCATTAAAGGGCCAATCAACAGGCTCCGACTTCTTTTTTTTACACCCCCCAAAGAAGCTCAGTAATTCATAGTGTAGACCGTAGAGATCACATTTTCTGAATATTACAGAGCTGTGTGCCATGCAGAGCCTCCATTTCGAAAAACGATGCCCGTGCTCGTTTCCTACGCCTGACCAATGCTCCTTCCACGCGCAGTGACGAAAACTCGGCGATTGACAACGTGACACAGCACGCAGCTCGTCGATTGGTCTACACCTGGTCCCAACAAACAGTAGTGAAGTCAATGATAGTTCCTGTTCCCACCCACAGCAACGACAGAGCTATTCAATCATACGATTTGCGAAACTTCTCATAGGATCCATGTATCAAAATCGGGACATGTCACTGGCCCAGTTTTTGGGAGTGTGTAGATTGTCACGCCACCTGTTGATCAGCACATGCACTATTAAGTTCACAGTTTGTGTTTTGTGTTGCTATTCATTGGTAGCGCGGCAGTCTGCCTCCATAAAATATAACTCCTAAGAAATCGGGCAACTTCATGTCTGGGTTTCGGAACACAGTTTTGCTGCAAATCGTTATCGACTGCAAATCGAGCGACTAAGCTGCGGAGAAGCATTGGCACCGGGTAAATAGAATAACAACCAGGCATCGTAGCAAGCGCAAGTGCGTTGCGACTGATCGAGTTAGCCACTGGCGTCAATTGCTGACGTCTTCTAACATTGCTGAAGTGGGCGGAGTGGAACGCCTTCTTCTCCCTTTGAAGGAGAAGGGTGGCGAGGCCATGCAAAACTTTGAAACCAGCATAACGCAATGTTGTAGCCCCAGTAATTTTCTTTATATAGCATGTATTCGTACAATTCTTGCGGCAGCATGTTCACGAAGTAAAAGTGCACATATTTCTCTTTCCAACAATTTTTGGGCTTTGGGGTTGTTTACTGGCCCTGAAAAAAAAAATGCAAATAGTTCAGGGCTATATATAAAAACTGAGTTAAAAGCACTGTGACATATTACACCTGCACTGTATTGGAAAAAATGAAGCATTAGTGTTGTTTTATAGGGTCCAATAGACATGGATAGACAAGGACCAGCTGAACCTCAAGACCTAGTGCCAGCGGTTGTCCCTCCAACAACGTCAACATACAGCACTGAAACTACTGGAGATGCAGCTGTTATTGATAGTGACAAAAGGTGAGCTGTGGCTTGCCGACTGATAGAAGGTGATGGGTTATGCAATGTTGTTAATTTTCGTGGTGATACTGCCCGGGCTTTAGTCATGTGTACTTCCGTCACATTATAACAACATTAACAACAGGTTTCTAAGCCAATAACAATAGCATAAAAAGGAAGGATGTAAGGCAAATCTTCTGTTGCACATGCACATAAGACATCTTATAAATCACTAGATAGACCAAGCAATACTGTGCTACTAACACTATGCATAATGTTCAGCCTCAGTCTGCCTGGAAGGAAGAAAAAGTTAGTAGTACTCACGTGTCGCAATTATCCTGTGTTGGTTACTGTGGCCACATGTGAGTATGAATGACAGATTGCCTGTGCAGGTGGGTTTATATGAGTATGATTGCACACGAACACTTCTGCTTTATGAGATGTGAAGGCATCTAAATGTGAGCGGATGCAAGGATGAGTGTGGTTGAGGCTTAAAAAGTTGTATTGTGTCATTGTATATGTGTGAATCTATAAGCTGAATTGCTTAGTATTGACTTCTGTATGACTAGAAGTGAGAAAGTGTGCGATAGCATGTATGAATGTGAGTTCATGTGAGTATGAATGATAGTAACTACTAAGGTACTGTTTAGAGGACAGTCATCATGAAAGTGAAGGTGTACCTGTAAACCTTTTTGAAGGTGTACCGTAAACCTTTCAGAGTCGATAATGTAGATGTATACTCTCTTCAAGATCTTCTAAACGGTCAACCACGTACATGTACACATTGCTTGCATGCTTATAAAGCATGCCTCTTTCTGTCATTTTTTTTTGCTTGGCGTGCGCTGCCATGTTGTGGGAGTAAATGGAATTTTTTTCCTACACTCGTGTGTCTCCTTTTTTTTTATGCTTTACTACAGTAATGCTCTGGCTTGTGCATCCGGCCGAGCGCAGGTGTTTGGCAGCTAGATTTGGTTTCAGTTATTCGGTTGGTTCCCGCTTTTTGTGCCTGCAAAACGGATGGCTGTTTGATTTGCAATCGCTCAATAGGCAGCCGCTTTGTAACTCTCTCGCATATTGCTGCCCAATATGTGATGATGTTCGTTTCCATGCAGGCGCTGTCTGACGTGGACAGTGCTACTCGCGTAGCATTTTCTGTGTTGGGTACTCACAAAAACCAGTCTACATTTCGTTGTGCATAATACAAAGGAATATTTTATCGTAGGTTTTTGGCTTGTTATTGCTTTCTGGACATGCTAACAGCTGTGTAGTTTTTTTTATTGCATTCAGTCATGCAGTTTGCTTGCACTATAGAAGTGTGTGCCAGTTTTTCTACTGGAAGCGAGTCTAGAGATTGTTCCTCGGAATTAGTCATTTCACTGCCAAGTGAGAATTTGATTCTTTGGATGTCAGGTTGTCATTCTAGGTGGTACGAGTGACAACTCAAATGTTGATGAGTGAACGACATCTCTAATGTGTGCTCTGTATGTTGTCAACTGGATCATAGTTGACCTATCACCTTTCGTGTCCCCAATTGACACTATTTCATGCACTTAGTTTTGTATGTCTCCGAACTACATGAAGTTTTATTGCAGTGCATAATTTTTAACAGGCATATAAGCTTTCTAATAATTTGTCTTGCTGTTACTAATATGAACCATGTGTATCTAATAACAATAATTTTTATTGTCACCTTATGACCACCCAAACAAAACAAAATTACGATTGCTTTCCGAAATATATTTGCCTGAATAATATAAATCAGTGATAAAAAAAAATAGACCTTGGCAGGCTGCATATGGCAAAAGAGTACGACCCTCAAAGGGTGAACATTCAGTATGAGCATGTGTGAACATAATTACCGTATTTACTTGCATAATGAACCCACTCACATAATAAACCAAATCTCCACCTTGATCCTTGAAAAAGAAAAACTTTTTAATGTATCTATTCACTTTATTTCTGTATGATAGTCAGTGCCGTTGACGATCGAAACAACGTTAAATCAAGCCATTTTCTCACAAAATAACGACGCAATAAATGTCAAAACATAGTTTTGCAACCATGGTAAACATTTGCGAGCCGTGCAAGCGCCGAGGAGTCATTGATAATTTGAAGTCGAAGCGCCGAAAGCGCCATCTTTCGAATGCAGAAGAAAACTCTGCTGATAGCGCCAGGCAAGTACAGCGGCACAAAGACGAAACACGTGGCCTTCAACACAGCCAGGCTAGACTGCACCTGCGCGCTCGCTTCTTATGGCCTTCGCATCGGGTGTAGTACATGACTCTCGCCAGTACTTTGAGGGAGGCGCTGTGACCCTGACCCTCTTCCGCCGCTCTGTACAGCGTGCGCAATGCCAGCACATAAGTTTGGGTGCACTTCACTACTTACCGTGCATTGAAAAACAAGTTGTTTAGTCGTTGAAGACGTGCGAGTGGTTTATGGCATTGCTCATACCTGATGATGCTGGGCTTGGACCTATCTAGCTCTGAAGACTGCACTTTGCTGGTAGTGTCACAAATCCCGAAGTGCGCGCATGATCGTAGCCTCTTTGTGACAGAAAGCGCCATATCACACATCCCTCACAAGTTCGTCTGGTTTCGCTGAATGCTTTCTTCCATCACATTATATTTGATGCAAAAAAAAAAAAAAAACACGGTCTTTTTCTCTCCTGTCTGTGCATCTGTTACGACTTTCTTAACACATGGGTGGTGCTTGCTTTCGCGATAGTATTGGATTGCATTTTTCACTTCTTTCAGCAATTGCTGCAACTTCTCGCATTTTGAAGGATGGTGCAATACTTGGGAGCGCAATCTCCCTATCATAGTCTGGCATCGACCCGCGCGATGAGCATCGATCTTTATTGTTTGCGTGCAAACACTTACTGCTTATTGTTCAGTAAAAGCATCTTGTGAAGTTGCAACATGCAGATCTGTTTCGTTGGTCTCTGCTTTTCGCTTCCATGATGTTTGACGTAGGGGCGAAGCTCGTGAAGCAGGATTTTCGCGAGGCTTAATGCGCTTGAAACCAAGTAGGTAGGATAGTCATTGAAAAGAATAGGTGCGGAGCCGTGAATAAGTTTTCTGATGCGGAACGCCGGCACATAGTCTTCATAGCGCAAGTGTCTGCTGATGCAGACTTGTCGTTGATGGTGAGGTTGTCTCTCGCAATATTCTTTTGTCACTTAGGTGCACAGCTCAGTATTATTTTGGAATTGGTGAGAAGAAACACCGGGTATTTTCCCCGAACTAGACTTGCGATACGTAACCACGGCGATCGAGCGGCCGTGACTGAACACAGCAACACATCTTCACGCAGCTAATATGTATCCATGAGCGTAATGGGCGTACTGAAGGTTGTGCGACTGCCTTCTTGACTGGAGAAATCACTGTAGACTGAACACTGACAAAGCACCGAATGAAATGCAACCATGGTGGGTAATTACAGAATAAAGCAAGCCACACTAAAGATAAAAGGCAATTAACAACAACCTGCTTGTAGCACTAAGCCACAAAAGAATTCACAGATTTTTCTGAAAAAAAAAAAAACTTCTTACTTGCCAAAAAGTTGTAATGTTGTTAATTTCTATTTCTAAGCATGTTGTTCCACGAACTCTAAGGATAGTGCAGAACTGATTTGCACTAGAATTTTACTTCTGGGGCAAGCGGCTTGCAAGGGTAAGCAGCTGCGTACTTCATTCGCATTCTTCATAGGACGTGGCTTGCAGTACAAAGGAATGCAAAAGGGCTTGGGGTCTCCAGAATCACTATTTGCAGGTGGCGTAAACACCTTGACAATGCACACCACCACTCTGTGCGTGCCATCTTAAGGCATTATTCAGCAGCAAAGGTCTGCTCTTTTTTTTACTTTCTTTCTTCTTATATGCAGTTTTTTAGCCATCAGATATACAACACACACGTATGTGTTTAAAGAGTTGTCAGGCTGCAGACAGCAGCTTTTCGCCCTGAAAACCACTACAAATGTATTTGGAAAATTGAAGAAAAATAGAAAATAGCTAGCAAAGGGAAGGTGCGCTCGTCAGTCTGTGAGCAACCTCCCTTAATTGCGACATCGTTATCCGACGAGACCAAGGACCAAAGGTGTTTAGTTCTCTCTGCTTGCAGAACAGGTGCAGCATTGTTTATCTTTTTCTCTGATCGTTGCCAGTGCTTCATGCCTCCTTAATTATGCCTCTCATCAGCCAATTTTCCTCTCATTTTCTCTGAGTATCAGGTTGTATTATCCACGAGCGCGTAGTCTGGTTAGATTAGTTCTTTTTTGAAGTAGACGATCCTCCTTCTATTCCTGATTTATTTTTATACACCCTCTCTTTGCCGAGAACCCCCATTCCATGGTTTTACATCGACTAACTTCCTTGTGCCGTGCGCGCGGTGCAGAAAATGCAAAATCAGGGTTGCTGCGCTCCTATTGCCGACGGGTGGCTAAACATACTCAGAAACTCTCCCATTGTATTTGCAATGGGTGAGAAAGCCGTAAAGAAAGAAGCGTGCGCAAGTGCAGTCTAGCCTGGCTGTGCCTCCAAAATGGCGTGTACGTGCGACGTCATGACCTCCAATGCATGACGTCCGATCTCGGAGGTCATGCAAAGCGCAACCGTGATGATGGCGCGTTGTGCACCCACAACGTCTACTGCAACGTTTGTGCGCAGCCATTCAACGCTGCGTTTTGTTGTCGGGTTCGTCGTTTTGAACTTATGTGGGACACCTGCTGTGCAGGGTGCGTTTAGTCGGTATGCTAGCTACTCAGCTGGTTACAAACAGCATTGGAGCGGAGCGGCTGAACGACACTTCGGCATCACTCCATGCGCTTTTGTTACGGGAGAAACAAAAAGAGCTTTGGGCTACAGAAAAAATTTGTCGCGCATTTCGCGGGCCTAAATAAGCAAAGATGTCGTGCGAAATTTTTGCTGTTATAATTCTCATGGCTGAAATAGCAGTTAGGCAAAGAACTGCCATTTCAACTTCTATCTGCCGCAGGCAGAAGTGTTCAAACTGAGACGAAAA